CTCCATACTGTTGCATCTGGTAGTGGTTCATTCATTTACATTGCTGTATAGAATTCCATGGTATGACTGTACTATAATTTGCTTATCTGTTTTACTGCTGGCAGACATCTGGGTTGTTTCCAGTTTGGGGCTATGACAAATAATGCTTCTGTAAACATTCTTGTTCATGCCTTTTGGTGCTATGTGTATACGTATTTCTACTAGATATGTAGGCAGACTTTTGTAGACCAACTGGGGACTACACCACCATTTCTAAGATTTCCAATTCCAAACAAGCTACTTACAAATGATCTTGCAAAACACAACCGTTTATAGTTGGTACACATCTTGTATTTAGAAGCCAGTTTTAACAAATGGACAAATTTGGTGGACAAAAGAGATAAATTAACAATTTATGCTGTAATTTTTAAAATGTCTTAATGTGAATGCTCAGTTTTAATTCAGAACAAATGAGATAAATAGGAAAACAGCACAGTGTAGGAAAAGGAATCCTGAAATAGGGTCAGGACATCTGGTATCATGAGTCCTCTTTATACACTAACTTTTTAAAAGACATTGGGTAAGTCACGGACCCTCTCTGCCTTTGTGTCATCTTAAACAACAGGGATAATGATCCCTGTCACACACTACATTATTAGAAGATAATAGACATCAAGGTATTTTAAAATGTGAAAAACACGCTGAACAGACATATGATATTATTGCTTTCATCCACAAATTCCATTCTTCCTTGGATAACATTTTGGATATGAATCCAGCCCCCCTTCATTAACATCACCTAGAAATACGTGGAAATGACAATATAAAACTATGAAACGTGAGATCAGAGACAAAATTTTTTAAAGATTAAATCTGCATAAATACTATTTGTATAACTTTGAAATATACAAGTATAGTGTTTACTTATGTAATTTTCCTTTTTTTCCCTTTTTTTTTGGTGAGAAAGATTGGCCCTGACCTAATATCTGTGCCAATCTTCCTCTATTTTGTGTATGGGATGCCGCCACAGCATGGCTTGATGAGCAGTGTGTAGGTCCACGCCCGGGATCCTAACCCATGAACCCTGGCCTGCCAAAGTGGAGCACGTGAACTTAACCACTGTGCCACTGGGCCGGCTCCCAGTTACATAATTTTTACATTGTTGTTTTTTCAGACTCTTGGAGTTCACCAGTCTCTTCTTGATTTCATCACCATCATATTACTATAAAAATTTCTTTTAAGACAATGTAGCTTAGTGGGAAAGCACTTGCCTGGAAGAACAGTGCCTGAACACACAAATATTATCTGTTAATATCTTTGCCCACCCTCCATCCCCAGATGCTGTTTCTGCCTTCAGTTTCCTAGATCTAGTAGAGAAGCACGATCTATACAGCCTGTGGCCCTCACAGGAGTTACATTTCACTTCCTTCTGAGTGGATTTTCACACTCCACTGCCATCTGGTAGAAGAGAGAGAGGTGTCGTGATATGCCCTTTGTTATCAGAAGGTCTGGGTGTAAGGTCAAGGTCCCCTGCTTACTGCTGGGAACCTTAAACTCTCAAAAAGCCTCAGATTTAAAATGAAAGAAATATATAGTAATCGTAACTATTCACTGGAGTCTTTGTGAAGATTAAATGAGATAATACAGGTGCAGCAACAGCACAGGACTTGACACATACTAAGTGTTCAATGAACTTTATTTTTTAAAAATATTGCATCACAATGTTCTAACACCAGCGCAAAGAACGCCGTCTATGGCTGAGAGAATGCCTGGTATTGCTGCCAGCCTATATACCTCCTTATCTAGCCCAGCTGCCCAGAGGGGTGAGGGGCTCTAAAGAGCACAGAGCGCCCAGCCACGTCTTGACACTCTTCCCACACCCTCCATTAGGTCCACTGTACCCTTCATGAGTAGTGGCGGCAGATGCGTTCCCAGGCGTTCAGATCTGCTTTCCAGCTCAGGCGTTGAAGAACCGGGCTCGCCCTTCTTTATTTACAAATGTATTTTATTTCACTAATATTCCCTTTATTTGTCTGCCAAGACATTCCTTGTAGTTGTATTATACCAGTGCTCGATAATTTCTGTAGCATTCTTGACTTGTTGCTGCCTCTCTCTCTGTCTCTCTTTGTCTCTCTCTCTCTCTCTCTGTCTCTCCGTCTCTTTCTCATTAACTTTGGCGTCAATCTCACTAACACTCTGTATTTATGTAAAAATGTTAAGTTACACATAATGAGTATTAAGAGCTTCACTAAATACCAAACACCAACGTTTTCAAAGTACATCATGTCCTAAGACCAAACAACTTGTTGGTCTGCTTTCAATGCAGTGTTAAACAAGATATAATATTATTGGGTATGGTTCTCATTACACAAGCATCTTAAGTAAACTGGAATATCATTTTATTGAGATTTTTTATAATAAAAAATATATGTAATAGAGCTATTGCCTATCTGGCAAAAAATAAAACAGCTCTCCAAACACAAACATAACATTACTTTTTAACATTTGACATCTGTGCGCAGTCCCATGGATTTTCTCTCCTCTTCAAAGTCTATTAAAACCAATAGTATGAGCAAATCTATCATTCAGGAAGACTTTTTATGTTACATAAAAGCTCTCAATGATGATAAATTATTTTGTGTTGGAACTCTGACCCTTTTGGAACATTTATCGTTGCTGTGCCAAAGTATGTCTGTCAAGCCTTTTACTGTGTGCAGAACTAGCTCCCGTTATTTTATTCAAAAATTGCTAAAATATCTGAAACCTTGAAAAATGTATGAAGTGGTAAATGTTTGGAAAGCTGCTGACATTTTTCCACTCAAACACTACGTAATTTAATGCCAATGACATATGAAGTTATACCTCTTTGCAAGTTGACAATTTGTAAATTCGAGAATTCTATGACCTATATCTTAATCCTTGAAAAGTCAAAGTTTAAAAGGAATTGCTGGCAGACTATAATTTAAGCAGGAAGTATGAGTATTTGTTACAAATATACAAGGTAGATGTGGCTATGTTTGTATCCATGTTTGGTATATTTCTTACTATAGCATGATTTTATAACAAACCATGTTGTTAACAAAAGAATGTGAGGCTCGTACTAGAATGTCCCCAAACTGTTGAATCTTTAAAAAAAATTCAATCAACTGTATATAGTACTAGTGGACTTCCACTCAACTACTTTTCATATAGCATTACACTAAGGCAGTCAGTTAATTAATTCTTAATAATATAACACTCCATTCTTAGCCATTTATGTATTTGTTTTATATTTATTAACTTTTCTTTTAAATTGTTATATTTTTATCTGTAACAGTGTTTTCTTAGATTTTAAAACCTCAGAAGATAGAATTCATTTATTTGACAGATATTTATTGAGACCTGCTAGGTATTGGGCACTGTATTAGGCAAATGAGTTACAAGAGTGAACTAGACAGTCTTGGGAGAGATGGTTAGCCCAGTCAGGGAAGGCTTCCCCAAGAAGTCGATAGCTGCCATCTGAGTGATGAGTAGGTATTTTACAGTGGGTGGAGAGCACTGCAGACGGAAGGGACTGTTTCTTGAGAGATACCATGGTCTGGTCAGGTAACTCCACATATTTCAGTAAGGTGGAGTACAGAATAAATAAATGAAATACCCATATACTAGGAGCTGTCCTGCTGTGTGCCAGCTATCCTTCACATATAGTATCTAGAAAGTTCACATCCATTAAGTAAGGTAGGTCTAACCAGCCTCATTTTCTAAGTAAACCCAATGTTTAACAATGTTACATCATTTGTCCAAGGTAATCCTAGATTGAGGATTGAACAGAATCTAACCACATCTCAAGTCCCTGCTTTTTTACACTGCACCAATTTAATTTTGTTACTACATATATTGGATATTTAATAAAGGCTTTTTGATAGTGATAGTTATCACACTGTCTCTAACAGTGTTTTTTAAACACACGTCTTTCTCCACTTCTCTAGTAAATTCCAATATGTATAGTGAGTAAATAATATCAATGTCAAAAAGTTCTCTTTTGTGATATGGTAATATGACCATCTTTGGATTTCTCTATGGATATTTATCCTTCTTAGGGATTAATTCCTAAACTACATTTTGGGGACACAAAGGAAAGTTCAGTAAGTGTTAATAGTTAATATGACAGTGATTATTCTTCTAAATACTGTAAATAAATTAAGAAAAATAATAATATATAAAAATTTTAAATTACATTTATAAATTTATAACTGTGTAGTCTTTTAGTTATCTGTTTTCTAGAATAGAAAATAATATTTTGAATAAAGAATATTTTAAATATTCTAAATATTTTAAATAAAGAAAATTAGTAAACACATTTACAAAATTTTTACAAATTAACAAGATTCTCATGCCCACATCAGAAACTCTACATGAAATTACTTGACACACACGCGTGTTGCTTTAGCTGTGTCATTGCTGAATTGAATGTCATAAATTCAAAGCTAACTCATATTAAATTTAGAATATTCAAATATTATTATACTTTGTGCCTTTGAATCCATTCTGATCATTTCGTATGCCAACAAATTCATCTGTGAGACCAGTTTTTACTTTTTACCTTAATCCAAATGAACAGTATCATGTCTGTTAAGAACCTGTAGATGTCACGACAAGTATTACACATGTGCAAGTGGCCTGTGGTCAGGTGAGTTTGGCAAATGCTGCCATAGAGCCTTCTACTGCTAACTTAAATGATGGTGAAGAGTGGGACTGGAACAGCAGAGCACATAATGATTCATTCCCAAGAGTTTCCTGGTACCAATTAACTGAGTAATGTCAAATCATTAAAATGCCGCCATATTGTACTGCATTGCTACCTACATTGCATTTGTATGAGAAACTATTTGTTTTCTAATTTTTATTATGCAGTTATCCTTGGTATTTCAGAACAATGGAAATTTTTACCTTACATGTGACACTCGTTATAAACATGTTTACCATTTGCTATTGTAGCTAGAAGCAGCCGACCTTTAAACAACTTGTGTTCTTTACCCCAGCGATGCATCTGTTTGGCCTCAACTGGCAGTTGCAACAGACTGAAAATGACACGTTTGAGAATGGAAAAGTGAATTCTGATACCATGCCAACCAACACTGTGTCATTACCTTCCGGCGACAATGGTAAGAGAAAGAATTAGGTCTTGTGTTTTTCTTTTAACATATCTTTTCCATACATTTATTTTTACCCATGTTACGTCCAGTTTTATATGGGAGAGGGAAAAAGCTTGGAATTACAGATGTCATCTTTTAATGAGTGGTTTTTATTAAATATCTTGAAGGATTGATAATTCACATTTTCATTATAGGAATAATACCTCCTGATGTGATAGCTAGGTTGCCTTTCCCTCCTGCAAGTGTGTATTTGTTTTATTTTTAGTTTGTAAATAGATTATAATTCAGTGCATCATCTCTTATATTACCTTGGGTCTATTAAGCTTTCTTCATTCAACTAGTATGTGGAATTGGAATACTACATTAATGTTGTTATAAAACCCTTTAAATACAAAACACATAAAAGGATTATAATTTATTGACTTTTCTTCTGGTTGCCTATTCTCTAAACCTTCAAAAGTTTGTGCTTTGGGATAACAGCCTTTCAAATCACTTGGCTCTGAATTAAAAATGGAATTTAAGAGGTTAGAGAAGGACGTATTTCAGTTTTCCAATATAAACACCCAGAAAAATATGTACACGCATATGTGTATTATATATACCTATTATTTTTATGCATGTGTGTGCATGTATACATGTCTTGGCATTTGGCATCCTCTGACTTTTTGCAAAATGTCCTAATACTTTATATCTCAAAGCAACTAGATCATGATAAATGTATCATTTGTCTTTAAGCTTTTCCCTAGTTTTTCTTCTGCTTTGTTTCTTCTTATCTAGTGTATTTGTATTCTGTTTTGGCATTGACTGTGTTCATCGTCAGGTGGCTAGTTTCTTTGCATGACTAAGAAGAAGCATTATATATTTGTATATAATATATTTATTTATATTTGTATCTATGCTCCTATTTTGCATTACCCATTGACTGTGACTAATGCTTTTACCATTTTTGTTGTTGTTCTTTTCTTTCCCATCTTCTGTTTTATTTTAACAATACTACTTTATGACACTTCTCTTCCTTCTTAGGGAGGCTGAGGAATTTTGTAAGACATTAGATTTTTGGGGCCGGCCTGGTGGCATAATGGTTAAGTTCGCACAGCCCGGGATTCACGGGTTTGGATCCCAGGTGTGGACCTACACACTGCTCATCAAGGCATGTTGTGGCAGCGTCCGGTGTCCAAAGTAGAGGAGGATTGGCACAGATGTTAGCTCAGCAACAATCCTCCTCACCAAAAAAAAAAAGATATTAGATTTTCATAGTAATAATAAATATCTCCACCCCCACCCCTGTATGGAGCCTTTTGATACAAAGTCCTGCATGTTCCAAAAAACTATAAGCTGGTGACTGATGGCAGTGACAGTGGAAGTCACTGCACAGTAGATTAAAGAGGAGTGAAGAAGAGCTTTCCTAATTAAAACTTGTGGTGGGAAATTTCAATTAAGTAAAATATAATTACTTTAAACAATGGTTTAATTTTTTATACACTGATAACATATGTATGAACAGATCAAGTAACTATACAGAAATCAAGAGTATTTATTTCTCGTTTATATAGATTGAAATTTAGACTGTCTCTTAAAGTGGATGGTTCCTGTGAAAATGGTCAAATGGCATTTATTAACCACACATGTAGGGAACATATTTTCAGACTGAAGAAATTATAGGAAAGAGAAAAATGCTTATTGTAGACATTTTGTTTATTTTACAACATCTGAACCTCTTATTATGATTAAAATGAAAATCGAGTGTGGCTAATTAGTTTCACAGCACTTGAAAAGCATGACACTGAGAAAGCTACGGAGTCAGGGATGCTCCCCTAGCCTTGGTGCTGGTTCCTGGTATTTTGCCAGAGAATACGTCTGCTCAAATCAGCATTCCTCGGCTCACACGGGTCTATATTCAAATCCTAGCTTCTTCACCTATTTACTTTGTAACCTTGGTCTGCATGCTTAGTAGTTCAGATCTGCAAGAAAATTTTAGGACGACTCTGGAATAGACTGTCTAGGATCATATCAGCCCCAGACATTTGGAAGAAGTCATATAAATATAGCTTCAGAAATCTCTATGGAGCTGGAGTCCTCTAAAGCGGTGAGGAACTATTGACCATGACAGTGAGAAATACGCACTACATCAAAACCCACATCCACATACACAGATATCTCTGAAATATGTTTTCCAAAATAATAACAATCCTCATTTTGTGAAACGCACCCTGGTATTTTCTATTCTATTTTATTGTGTTTCCCATTTATAACAAATGCTGGTTGAAATTAACTCAAGTAATTTCACAATTTACAAAGGATTGTGGTCCACAGTTTCAAAAACACTGCTCTGAAAGTCTCCTTCTCTAAGAGGGACTGAAGTTCCCCCGTGTTCTTCATCCACCGTGAATGCGCTGAGTTCTGTTGATGTGTGCCTGTAGAGGAACTGTGTGTACATGTGAGTAAGGTGCCTTCTTCCTAGCCTCCCATGTGAGGAATAGATAACAAATGAGCTGGGTACTCTGGAGAAGAACTGATCCTCCCCTGCCAACTGGACTAGGGGATTTGTAGGAATTTCTCTTTATGGAAAGGAGGCTATCTCTGGGCTCAGAACTTGTCCAAAGTGTGACCTAAACCATAGTCACTTATTGTCTTCTTGATTATTTCTCAAATAACCCAAAAAACCCTAAATTGTAAGGAATTCTTATTTTCATTTTTCCAAGTAAATTTTCTTGTTATATATCTCTTAAATATTTATATACCTGGAGTGCAGGGGGCAAGAGGGGACTCTAGTTGCAAGAAGGGAGGTACCTTAAAAACACTGCTTTTAAACCTCTGTGATGAACCTCAGTATTCATGCACCATCACCCCCTACTTAGGTTTTATAAACTGCCCAGAGAAGCAGATCACATCATCTCTTTAGAAATTCTAGGAGATTATAGCCCTTAAGAAAGCCTTAGAATTCTGAACGAAGCTCACTAGGAGAATTTACCATGCTAAGCATAATGAGAAAATTACTTCACGGCTTCTAAATGCAATACTCTTAATTATGCAGTCATATTTTATTCTCATTTTATAAATATAATTCTAAGGAGTAGTCATGATGCTAAGGGTTCAGTAAACTCTCTGCTTGCTTTTAAGTTAATACTGAATCAAAGCTTCTAAATGGTATTTAGTATTTAAAAGAAGAATTTCTATTATGTGCCGTGATCCTTCACTGATTATTCCTGAGACCTTCTTTGACTACAAATTTTAGAGATGAGATGTCAGAAGTGTGGGGTCTCAGGCAAAACTGATGGAAGTGGACAACGTGAATAAAAAGGTAAGAAGGAAGTTTTTAGCTCAAACACCAGTCTTTTTCCAGAAACTAAAATTATTCCCCTGGACCAAGGAATTCATTTAGCCTAATGTACTGGAAAGAATCACACAGGCCTATATTCAAATCCTAGCTCTTTCATTTATTTACTCTGTAACTTTGAACAAGTTACTTAACCTCTTTGAGCCTCAATTTCTTCACATGTAAAGAGGGAATAATAATTCCCATCTCTTGGCTCACCAGCTTCAACAGTCTGACTATATTTCCCTTGCAAACTTGCTCCCCTACACTTCTCAACAGTTATTTCAAATCTTCCTTCTGTACTCAAAGCTCCAGTCCATCAGCTCTCTCAGCAGATGACCTATTGAACAAAAAAATAGAAGCCCTCTCTTAATTTCCTGTAAGCAAATCTCCATTCCTGTGTGTATCTGGACCTGTCCTTTCACCCTTTTCTCACTATATTCAAGGCTAATTTTTGCATGAGGACTCTTGATCCCATTCTGTATCTTCAAAATTTCCCCACTCTACTGGTACTTTCCAGTCAACATTTGAACATTCCAAAATCTCTCACAGCTTTAAAAAAAAAAAATCCTGAGTCTACCTCCTACTCCAGTCCCACCCTATCTTTCTCTTCTCCCCTTACAGCCAGCCTTCTTGAACGTAGCGTATATATTCACTATATTCATTTCTTTACCGTCCACTTGCTCCTGTTACCCCATCCAGCCTCTGCGGTGCTCCTTTCTCGTGACCGTCCTCCACCATCACCACTCACTGAAACCCAGGTCTTCCAGAGTTAGCAGTTGCTCTGTCAGTAACATCAATTAATACTTGTCAATCTCTATTATATTTGGGTTCTTGGTAGCATTTAATAGGTAACCTATCTCTCCTAACTGAAATATTCTTTTCCCTTAGCTTCTGTGATAGCACATACGCCTGGGCTTTCCTCCTGACTTTTTGGCAGTGACTTAGTTTATTTAGTTAACTCGTCTTCCTCTACCTGATCTCTAAACATTGCTGTTACTCAGGACTCTGCTCTTTTCAGAATATAATCTCTCTGGGTTCTCTCATCCACTCTCCTGACTTCAGTTACATTCTCTGTGCTGTGTGTTACGTTACGTTCTGTGTGCTCCCAAATCAATAAATGCAGCCTACATCTCTCTCTTTGAGCTCTAGACATCAACTACATAAACTCTATCTAAGTATCTTTGGAATATCTCCACTTGGGTGTCTTCCAAGCACCTCAAACTCCACATGTCTAAAACTAAACCCATCAAGTACTTTGGTTATCTATTACTGCATAACAAGCCACATCAAAACTCAGTGGCTTAAAAGAACAATTTGTTATTATCTTTCATGGTTCTGTGGCTTGACTGGGCAATTTTTGTGTTTGGTTGGGTCTCCCATGCAATTACTTTCAGATGTCAGCTGGCTCTATTTGAAAGCTCCACTGAGCTGGAAGGCTAAGGTAGCTCACTCACATGGCTGGCAGTTGGTGCTATTTGTTGGCTGGAACTCCACTGTTGAGTTGTTGACTGGAGCATCTACATATGGCCTTCCCTGTGGCTTGGGCTTCTCAGAGCATGGCAGCTGATTCTGCAGAGGATTGTCCCAAGAGGGAGCGTTCCAGGAGTCCCAGACAGAAGTCACAAGGCTTCTAATGACCTAGGACATTGGACATTCCAGGATGTCACTTCCATCACATCCTGTTGGTCAA